GGAAACTCCTGCTAATGTGAAATTGCACACGTGCACTACAGACGGCTGCAGTGTGCAATAGTTTTTCTGTGCTTGCACGGTAGAGTTGCATTCGGGCCCAAAAAATCAGATCCAACCCGGCCCCAGTCTGTAGCCATTCCAAACCCCACCCGACACGACAAATTCTGAATTCTGCATTATTCAGACACAGACCCTGCTCTGACATGTCTGCTTTGGGATCTCACCTGTTTGGATCGTCGGCCGCGCGCGTCCGCTGAGTGCAGCGAATGAATGAACGTCCATTTGAGTGATGGACCGCTTCCTGGCGGTGTAGTCCCATCTGAAACTTAACTGAACTTTATTTTACCTCTTTCAAGGCCGGTCAGCTCACGGTGAAATGGCCGCGTGTGGCTGTTGAATGTATGGCAAGCCATGTTGTCATGTAATTGGATTTTATGACAAGCCATGTTGCCATATAATTGGATCGCGGCTGATCCGCTGACACAATGAAAAGCCCGACACCGCCCCGCCCCAATTTCGGGTCGGGTCAAGCCGGGCTTCGGGCCTGGGTTAGAAATGACAGCTGTATTGTACGAGTAGATGAGCAACAGTAACAATGGTGGATAGCAGATTGATGTTTGATGCTCACTCTTTTCAACGTGTAGCAGAAACCCAACCTCATCCTTGGTCCGAACCAACGTTCGTGTATTCACCATTTTGGATGTTTTCAGGCTTGAGACGCATGCTCACGTTGTTGAAATACAACGATCACAGCGCCCGTCTGGCACTAACTACAACAGATTCAACAAGCACAGTGTTACTTGTGTAAACGTATAACTTTTCCACTGACAACCTAGAAAAGTTGTTAACGTTTCTAGACTGTTCACATGTAAACAGGGAGTTTCTCCAAACAGTGGCTCACCCAGAAACAAAGTGCCTCCCCTCATTGTCTCATGGCAGCTCTCAGACAAAATGTGTGACTCCAGCCCAGACACCATTCACTTGTTAAGTAAATTTTGTGCTGCACTAAGCAGCCCCCCCAGGTCTACTTCCCCTGTCAGCTCCACAAATATAGGTCGCGTACAGCGGCTCTAGGAGTGTTTGTTTGCTTGGCTGTCACCTCTCGTTACATCCCCCTCCCCCAGCATCTGCAACGTTGGGTCAGGAACAAGGCCGTTCCTTAATGCATAACTGCTTCTTACCACAGAACTCTTGATCTCACAGCGACGGCCAGAACACCGTGAGGTGCAGTTATGGATTATTAATGCTGAGGCGATGGTGCAGTAGAAGATAATGGAGAAGTTGAAATGATTTATTGCTCAGGAAGCATTTTTAAAGATAAATTATCTCCAGCAAAGAGCCAAATGAATCATTTTACTGCCGGGGTATGGAGCTCTGGTGGAAGAGAAGATTTCAAGACAGCATCTTGTCTGGGGAAGGGATTGCCAGCATACATTACCACACATATCTGCCTCCATGGAGGGGGGTAGAGATTTCCCTGAGGGGCTTAGAGTTATTAGAGTCATTTCAGTGACCTTTCTTTGCCCCCCGGTCTTTCCTGAACTCAGTCTGACTTGTCGGGGACAGCGTGGCTGTCACATCGTCTTTTCGAGGGACAAGACTCACTTTGCAGTCAGACGGTCAGAGCCCGTTCAGAATGATAACAGAGCAGAACCCGCAGGAGGCGAGGACACGCTGCTGACTACGTTTATCAGACACGCTGGGCTCAGATCTGATGGTCGCTAGTTACAAATAAAACTATTAGTTTTCTATTTTGGCTTTTAATCTTTTTATTATTTAAGATCAAAATGTCAGAACACCAGAGAAGCAGATATTCAATACAGTTTGATTCATGTGGTCAAAGTTTGAGCCTTTAAAAGATGAATAAAAATATGAGACTTATTTTTAGTCGATGCTGAGTAAGTTAGGCTTGCTGGATATTATTTCAGCTTTATTATGTCTAACATTGCTCACATTAACCAAATTAATCCTTATTTAGCTGCTGTCCTTGTTTCAACATATTTTGCGGCCCAATGAGTCGTGTTGTAACGTACATTGGGGGCTCGACCGAGATCTGAACCTGGGACCACAAGCAAGAATCATTTGGTCCAGTTTTTATTAAAATGACATAAAAAAAAATAAATGATTAGTCCATTAAAAGCTGCACTGACCTGAAAGAAATATGGATCATTGTCGTTCTTAATTTTTAACCAAAATGTCATTTTTGATGCATTTGTTTTTGAGATTCAGATATTGGTAGTTTGATTTTTTCCATTCATCCTTTAATTATACAGGTTAAATTATTATTTATTTATATGTATTAATTATATTTTTATATTTATATAAATATATTATATTATTATATTTATTATTAATAATTTATTTATTATTTTATTCATCCAGATTAAATATAATATATATATATTATATATATATATATATATATATATAGATATATATATATATATATATATATATATATATATATGAATCCTGCTCATTATCTCCTAAAGTATCTTTAGCCCAAGATTCTCCCAGTTATTTTTTAAAACATTCTCTTTCTTGGCAATCAGTTTGGGGTTTACATTATTAAAAGGAAATGTAGAAAAATGGACTAAAGTGTGCAGAAAAAACTTTAACTTCCTTTCAGATTAACTCAAAAATATAACATCTGTTCAAATGTTTCAAGCTCAAAGAGTTTCTGTAAAAGAGAATCCCTCTTTTTTTGTTAACTGTTGGGGTTTGTGAGTATGAGTTACTAAAATGAGGTCAGACCAGGTCCAGAGGGATTCTTTTTACCCAGACGGGCTTATTGGATCAGCTTTGACCTTCAGCTTTTGTATGAGCTGATGTCGTACCGTGTTTACCAGATTTCAGCTCCAACATTTACAACAAGCCCATGTTTTCTAAGAACTATATTTGTGCGAATGTTTATGAAGCATTCTCTCTGTTGTGGTCCATTTTTCTTCTGTATGTTTTTCAGCGTGATTCTAGTCCCGCAGTTTTCAAACTATTTCAAAATCATAAATCAAAGCGTTCAGCTCATTCAGGAAAATCCGCTATGACTTTTTGTATTGATGCAATTTTAGCTTTTTGAAATATTTAGCCTTTTCTGTTACTTTTTTCTCATAGAAAATGAATTGAGCTCTTTAGATCTGTTTACAACCTTTCACATTTTGTTCTGGTTCAGCTTCTTTCAGCTTCCTTCTGCAAATTTTAACTTTTTTCCCAGCTACTTTCAGCTCATTTCAGCTGTTTGTGCTCCTTCCAGATTATTTCTGCTAACTACAACATTTTTGTGCTATTAACTTCTTTCTGCTAATTTCAGCTTGTTGTGCTCCTTTGATCTTATTTCTGCACGTTTCAGCTTTTTCTACTGTTTCAGCTACTATTTAGCTGTTTTATGCTTATTTACCATAAGCTTTTTCAGCAAAAATGTGCTCTCTGCACTTCCTTCTGGTCATTTCAGCTTCTTTCTGCTTTTTAGCTAACTTTCAGGTGTTTTTTTTTTCTTGTTGTTGCTAATTTCAGCTTTTTCATATAACTTCCACTTTTTTGTGCTCATTTTTGCTTTTTTCAGCCAAATTGGGCAAACATGCATTTTTTTCTGCTTTCTTATGCTAATTTAAGCTTGTTCTAGCTTTCAGCTACTTTTTAAGCTAATTTTTGCTGTTTTCAAATAAAGTTTTCCATGGTAATTTCTGCTACTTTCAGCCTAATTAACTTTTTTCTTCTAATTTCATCTTATGCTCTTTTCAGCTTATTTCTGCTAGTTTCAGGTATTTCAGCTACTATTTAGCTCTTTTGATGCTAATTTTAGCTTTTTCAGCTAATTCCATATTTTTTAGCTCATTTCGGCTCTTTCCGCTGCCTTCTGGTAGTTTAAGCTTCTTTCTGAATTTTCATCTACTTTTTAGCTGATTTATTTTTGCTAATTTCAGCTTTTTTATGCTAATTTTCTAATTTTTGTGCTAATTTTTCATCATTTAAACCTAATTCAGGAAACGTTCTTTCTGCTTTCTTCTGCTAATTTAGGCTTGTTCCATTTCAGCTATATGTCAGCATGTTTTTTAAGCTAATTTCAGCTGTTTCTCAGCAAGCATTCGCACTACATTTAGTTTCTCTAGTAATTTTTAAATTCACGCAAAATATTTTAAGGTGCCATTCTGTTTGCTGCAGTGGTTCTTTATCATCTTCCTGCTGTGTTCTTTAATCCTGAGGAGTTGCGAGTCCTGCTCCACATCCACTGAACAAAACATCGCTGCAGAATGTTCTCCATTAATCTGACCCTGATGGTACCAAAACTCCAGATGTTAGTGCTACAAGGATTTTCTTGTAAATAATAGACGTTCATCTAACTACACTTTATGAAAACCTTTCAGAAAGATGAAAAACATGACGTACAATCTGGCGTTTTAAGTTAAAGAAGTAGTAAATGTTAAATAAGAATGAAGGTTATAATAAACTGGAAGTAATTTTGTAATTTTAGTCTGACAGATGCATGATCAGCTGTCGTGTCTCCTGCCGCTCGCTCCAGATGTGATGCTGACGAGAGCCGTTCAAATCTTCTGTGAAAGGTTTTATTTGTTGAGTCATTTAGTTTTTCGTGAGCTCCTTCCCTCTGTTTGTTTGAGACCTCCTGCCTTTTTATTGTGTTGACATAAACATCATTCACAAATGGCTTCTTCTTTTTTACAAGTAAACAGAAAATGGTGAATCAAGTGGCAAAAATGAGACTTGGATGATAATTTGAGCCTTTTGGTCAGACAAAATTGCGACCCGTCTCCTTAAATAGCTCAGAGTTGAATATTTCCAGCCCATTTTTCCTGTTTTTTCTGGCTGGAAGCTGTCCACTCAGTCACCAGCGACTCCTCATCAGCACATACCACCAAGGCTCTCTGTGATCTGGAAAATAATTTTCTCCGCTGCGGTTTCTTGGTTCTCTGGATTTCTCCTGCAGCTCCAGTGAAGTCATGCTTCATCACCCTGCACACGTCAGTGATGTTTGTCTGTCGTTGCAGAGGCTCGCGGCCAGAAGCACCGCCTGCAGACGGCGCAGAACCTCCTGCAGGAGGAGGTGGCGCGTGCTGAGGAACAATCGGAGGTGAGACACCGTCAGGTTCTTTTCTTCTGCATGAGAATCAAAACGGGGTTTCTTTACTTTGGCATCTGTGTGGTATGGAGTTTTTAACGAGGAAAACCTGTAGCAAGGCCCACAGTGTTGCCAGATCTCGCGATAGATAAAGCAACCAGCTTTATGAAAACAAGCCCAACTGGCAACCCACCTCATTGTGTAAAACAGAGGCCATTTTTATAAACATACATTTATTATGGCAGTACACATAAACAACAGCAAAAATTATGCTAAACACTTTGAATAACATACTTTTAAGCTCTGGATTAAAAAATAATAATTTTGCATATGTAACAAATATGTAAATCATATTATTTTCTACATATTTTTAAAAACAACATCCTGACATCTATGTGTGAGTGGAGCCCCCTAGTGGTCGGCCACAGTATGGGTGTTTGTTTGGGTGTGTGCCTGTCGCCTCGCCAACTTGGGCGGGAGCGATAAACAGGAAACGGGGGCGTGGAAGGGACAAACTACCTACTGCCACTCGTCTTTTGCTTTATTGTGTGGAGTTGGGAAATAATTAACTAGTTTCACTCGGAAAGAAAGTCCAGCCCATATAAGCAACTTCGCGTTCAAAAACAAGCCCAAAAAAACGCAAACCACAAGGTTTGCAAGCGACTTTAGAAAAAAACAAGCCCAAAGTCGCTTATAATAGGCGGACTTGGCAACACTGAAGGCCAACCCTGTTCTGTGCAGATGACTTTGTTTTAGATCCACGGAGCCGCCCAGCAGCACAACGGCTACATAACCAGTTCACCAGAGACACGTGCTCAGAGTGGGCTCAGAGTGGGCTCCGACTGGGACCGGAAAATGAAGCTGAATCAATCTACAAGCATAAAGCTTGTGAAAAGGAGAAAAATATCTGACTTAAATCTAAAAGTAGCAAAGCATTAGCTTAAAATAGCAGTTTTTGCTAAAAACAGCAAAAATTTTAACTAAAAGCTAAACTACCCAATGGTTTGCTAAAAGCTAAAGTAGCAAATGAGTAAGTAAAGCTGCAAAGATCTAGTTAAAATTAGGCCTGTCGTGATAAACAGTAAATCAATTAATCGCATGATAAATGAAAATGATCAACCTCATCTTCATTTATCGGCTTTATCGTTTCTTAATGTCTCTCTTTCTACTGAAGACACTGGACGACAAAAGGCTCAACTCTGGTGTTCGTCACTGACCACTCCCGTTCTCTTTTCTCTTTAAAATCTGTTTTAACCGTCCAAAATCACGTTTTTGGATCGTTAAAAGCAGCTAAACTGAGAAGCTAAGCTATGAGCTAAGCTAACAGGCCAACCTCGAGGAAAAAACCTCTGTCTTGTCGAAGCTTCAGATATTCACGGTTGAAACCTGTGTCTTTGTGTAAAAAGTTGCTTTTCTTTGTAAAAAGAAGCTGAAAACTTGTTTATTGATTTTTAATTAAAAGCTTTGTGTGGAAAAATGCTATGCTAAAGAGCTCAAACCACGAGCATCCGCCATTTTGAGAACCAAGAAACAGGAAGCCCATGTCATGTCAAGGGGCCTCCCTCCCATTTTTCTTAAAGAGACACGCTCGCTCCCTCACTATCCATCCTTCGGTTCAGACAGTCTTATACTGCCATCCAGTGGTCGAAAACAGGTACCACATGCAAAACAAATAAAACGTCTTCTTAAATTTGACAATAATTACTGATTGTCAAATTTCTATCAAAATTATTGTTTATCACAATAATTTCTGAGACAATTAATTGCCCAGCAAAATTTGTTATTGTGACAGGCCTAGTTAAAATTAGAAAAAGTCTAGCTCAAAGCTAAATGGCTAAATAACTAAAGGCTAAAGCAGAATGGTAGCTCAAAGCTAAAACTGTAATAAAGCTAAGTCAAAGTTTGAAAAGGTTAAATAGAACCGTAAAGAGCAAAAGGCTATCTAAAAGGTGAAAGTAACAAAACGTAAGCTGCAAGCTTAAGTTTCAAATAAGTAGCTTAAACAAGCAAAAGACAAGCTAAAAGCTTAAAATATAAACTGTCTAGTGGTTAAAAACAACAAAAAGGTTAACTTAAAGCTAAAAATACCAAATGGATTCCTAAAAGTTTAAGTAGCAAATGAGTAGGTAAAGTTTGCAAAAGGGTAGCTAAAAGCTAAAACTAGTAAAAGGCTAGCTAAAAGCAGAAACTAGCAAAAAACAGCTAAAAGTACCAGTAGCATAAGAAGGTTAAAACAGAGTTAGTACGCTGTTGTATTTTTATGGAGACAATATTTGTAAGTAGAGGTAAATATTAAGTAGATTATAAAAGCTGAACATGATTTACAGGATGAGAGTTAATTAAACTCTTATTACACCGACTTGTTCTATGAACAGTATTAGGTTGTATTAAATCATGTAAATGACCTGTTTTCAAGCAGTGCCTCATTTTTTACACTTTTAATTTGCCGTTGCCTTCAGGCCCAGATTGTTTCAGCTTCTCTCTCCTTCATGTAGTGACAGGAAAACTGATCACACCAGACCTGCTGTTTGTGACCCAGTTTAGTTTATAAAGTAAAATAAATACATGGCTGACACAACTTGGTCTTTTTATTTTGGATAGATTTATGTTTTTATATGTTGTTGATCATATTTAGATTTTATTTATCATTTTGTTTTGACTATACTCAACTAGTGAGATGTAGAACACATCATTAGGAGAACAAATGCGTGTTTATCTTTTGCTTCTAACTACAGAAGCTGCTGTTGCTTCTTGTGTTAAATGTGTTTTGATTGAAGCACGTGAAGCCGCTGCATTTACCATGGTTGTAGTTTCCACACAGAAGAAAACACAAAGCAAGCAAACGTAGGCCTGTCACGATAACAAAATTTGCTGGGCGATTAATTGTCTCGGAAATCATTACGATAAACGATAATATTTTAAATTTGACAATAATTAGTAATTATTGTCAAACTAAGGTTTTTTTCCCGAGGTCGGCCTGTTAGCTTAGCTCGTAGCTTAGCTTCTCAGCTTAGCTGCTTTTAACGGTTTTGGATCGTTAAAATGTATTTTAAAGAGAAAGGGAGGGGTCAGTGAAGAGCACCGGAGTTGAGCCTTTTGTCGTCCAGTGTCTTCAGTAGAAAGAGAGACACGAAGAAACGATAAAGCCGATAAATGAAAACGAGGTTGATAATTTTCATTTTTCATGCGATTAATTGATTTATTGTTTATTGGGACAGGCCTAAGCAAACGTCCTGAAACCTCTAAGCTGTTCTCACCACTTCATCCCCGACGTGTTTTATACATTCAGTCAGTTAAACAGCTGACGGATGTTTCTTCTTATGAAGGTTTAATTATCGTCCCTAATGCCTGATTAGTTGAAGCTTTTCCAGAGCACATTTATCACCTCAAATCAAAGCTAGCTGCGTGTTGGAGCAGCTGACGGCTGAAAACAAGTTGTTGTCGAGTCGACACAACAGCAGATATGAAAACGATCCTGAATATCTTCATCAGCAGGTCGGTTAGGACCCAATCACATTATCACAGATTGACATATTTACTGTAATAAATATGGAATGTAGTGTGAATTTTAGGTTCAGATATTCCATAGTAGTTAAAAATATACAGATACCTAAAGTATAAAACATCTATTTAAGTATATCGTGTTCATTACTCAAATGGTTAATATGAATCATTTAATAACATATTGTTAAATGTAAATAAATTATTGATTTACTTGACATGTTGCTTCAATTTACAAAAAAAATTGTTTTTATTTTTTTAAATTAGGAAGATTTTTAAGTGTGTTAGTAAGTCACTAAATATTTTGTAGAACTAAAACCCTTGTGGTTGTATTTTAGTAAAAAAAAAAAAATCTGTCAATGTTCATGATTTTATTCCACCCCCAACTAAGTTGTTAAATATTGATAATTTGCTGTATAATAAGACACATTTCATGCTGCATCGTAAAACATAAAATAAAACTTAAACAAACTAAAAATAGATAGATTTCGTAGAGACCACGGTGGGTCGGTTGTACCATACCATATCATACCAGACCACTTTATTTATAAATCACTTAAAAACAGCAACAAGGCAAATCAAAGTTCTGTACAGCAGAACAAAGCAAAGGACACAGGATAAAATACACAGATCCACAGCGGTAAAGATAAAAACTAAATGATTGACATTGTAGAATACAGACGAGTTCAAATCAACTCGCACAGTGTCAAAAACCCGGGAATAAAAGTGAGTTTTCAAACGAGACTTAAAAACAGTGAGAGAGGGAGCCTGCCTGACATGCAGTGGTCCCTCGATCCACACTTGTGGCCCTGCAACAGAGAAGGTCCTGTCACCTCTGAGCTTAAACAGAGTCCCTGGAACCAGTAAAAACATCTGGTCTGCTGACCTCAGAGAAAGCTGTGGGACGTATGGCTGCAGCAGATCAGTGAGATAGGAGGGGGCAGAACTGTTCAGAGATTTAAAAACATACAGAAGGATTTTAAAATGAAAGTGAACTGGGAGCCAGTGAAGGGAGGCCAGAACTGGCGTAATGTGCTCTTTTGCCTGTACCAGTTAAAAATTGGGCTGCAGCGTTTTGAACCAGTTGTAGTCATGCAATGGAGTTCTGACTGACTCCAGTGCACTGCAGCAATCGAGCCTGGATGTTGTGAAAGCACGTATAACCGTTTCAAGGTTACGTTTGGACAGTGTGGGCTTCAGTTTAGACAGTTGTGATCAGAACAAACCGATTCTCCAGCGTGAGAACGTCTCGGCATCTCCGGTCATTTCTATTCATAACTAGTCCTGAGTAAACCTAAACTAAACTTAAACAGTTCCTGTTAGACTAAAGAACTGAGTTATTTAACAAAATACATCCAACTTGGTGAACAGGAACCTGTGTGTGCTGCTCTACTACCCACAATCCTTCACTCTGCTCGGGGTGAGGATGATGCTAATGTACACCTGCGGGCAGCGTGTTCCAGACGCTATTAACAGATGAGACCCTCGGCTGCTGCAGGCGCACATCGATCCCTGGGGCCCCCCTCCCCACGCAGCTACGATCAATAACTTCGTGACTTTCTCATCAAATCGTCTGCTCTCTGATTGATTAAGACCAAACCAGCAGCCTCACAAAAGCCTCAAAACACACCAAGGTGCAAATGACACAGATTTGCTGCTTTTTTTAAACTCCAAACTGGGTGTTTAAGTTTTTACGTCACATATTAAACTAAATGTGGTGTAAGTATTGCATTAAGGGAAACCTTTTAAACTTTGTCTTTGTTTAATCAAAGCTTCCGAGTTAAAAAGTCTGAATCAGTCCAGTCAATCCTCCCTGGAGCCTCGGGGCTCGGTGAATATCTGTTTGAATGCAAAGCGTCTCAGATTCAGCTCAGAGGGTCTTCTCGGTGGGAAAGCATCTTGATTTTTGTGGCCGTTCTTCGGCTGCGCAGCAGTTTTTATCGGTGTCTTCTTACAAAAAGCACATCGGCTCTCACTCGTGGCTCCGAGGTAAAAAAATAAAATAAAATTTCAGAAAGTCTTGTCATTTCTTGGCGTCTGTGTCAGAATCGAATCCAAACCTCTGAAGGTTGAAGCCAAAAGCTTCAGTTCCCTGTCAGGCACCGACATGAAGAAACGCTTCTGATGGAGGAAACAAAAACATCTAATGAGTCAACCGACCTGAGTCCGTCTGTTCTGCACTGAGCGGAGGTAAAGAAGCGGTTTCCTTTGATTAATTATAAAGATTATTTTATTAAAACAGTTTGTAAACAAGCAGCAAGCTCTGATTTCTTTTAGTTTGTTTTGAGTCGTGATCCCACATTCACTAAAAACACTTTAAATTCAAATTTAAGTTAAATCCTATAAGTTTGGGTGAACTAAAATAAAAAAATACAAGTTTTGTTCATCATATATATCAAATAAACATATTTGAATATTTTCTTTTTTTTTTTGGTCAGTAAAAAATGGATAGAGAAAGCTGACTGTCAACAAAGAAAACTTTTTTTTTTACTACCTCTTGTTTTTTTAAATTTTAAACTTATCCCACAAGACAGACTTCAGTGTATAAGCACAATTCCAATGTGTTAAAATAAATGACCACCAATACATTTTTTATTGAAACCAATAATCCTTCATGTTTGATCACTTCTGAGCTTCCTCACCTGATCAAATGTACAAAAACAGAATCTAAACTCACACTTTGGCTCCTCTTCAAACAAAGTGATAAAAATCAACATGGCTGAAATATTTACCTTTTATGTTATTTAATATAATCAGCTTTAGGTAGTAGTGCATGTGCAAAAACACTAAAGAGATGGTTAAAAACGTCAGATGGAGCTTTATTTATTATTAATATTTTAATTTCCACATCTAAAGGAGCCAGTTGACGTGGTTCAGACATCTGGTAAGGATGTCCCCTGGTCTCTCGGTTGACCTGGGAACGCCTTGGAGTCCTCCCAGAAGAGGTGGCTGTGGAGAGAGAGATGTCTGGACCTTCCTGCTCAAGCTGCTGCCCCTGAGACCTGACTTCAGAACAAGTGGAAGATGATGGATGGATGGATATGGATGGATGGATGTGGGTAGATATGGATGGATGGATGGATGGATGGATGAATAGATGGAGATGGATGATATGGATGGATGGATGAATAGATGGATGGATGAATAGATGGAGATGGATTGTATGGATGGATGTGGGTAGATATGGATGGATGGATGTGGATGGATATGGATGGATGGATGGATGAATAGATGGAGATGGAT